ACACACATATGCAAATTCACATACAGTGTCACACAAATACATATAGTATTACATAAATACACACATACAAATACACAGTCACACATATACAAATAGATGCTACAAGACAGTACATACCCCCTAGAGAAGGTTCCACGACTGCTGCAGGTGTGCTGGCCCTACTCCTGAAGTCTGCCTCATCCTCCAGGCAAGTCTGCAGAGAGAAGATACATTGTACATCATGTAGTTGTATGAGTGGGTGGGACTACTTTCATTTCTAGGTTCATTTCTTTCAAGCAATTAAGCTCACAGTGGGCACATACATGTAGAGTGCAGTACTGAAGCACGTCGGCAGAACGTACTGCACCTGCGCGAAACCCGTAATGTATTGTACATAGCAGAATGTCTCATATAAGGTTGTATTTGCTCGTATAAGGTCAGCATTTTGACAGTAGTTTCCAAATGTTATGTCGGAAAGAATATCCTCTGCAACAGGCAAAATTCGGATGCAACGGTGACCAAAAACCCAACAAAAAACGCAAAAATACGGGGTTCTGCGCAGGCGCAGTACGTTCTGCCGACGTGCCCAGTACTGAATGCATAGGTCAAAGTGAGACAACTTTTACAAATCATATGCTTTGTTTCAAATTCTCTTTATTAGCTTTCGTGAGTTTTGAAAAGCCTTGAATTGTACGTATGATGAATATTACACCAATGGGAGCAGCCGTTTCATACACACCCTGTAAACATTACACCAATGAGAGAAGCTGTTTTATACCGACCTGTAAGAAGGCAATGTCCTGTGTCAGCACACTGCATTCTTGCTCCAGAGTTTGTCTGCCAAAAAAAAATTGCAACTTTAACAATACATTTGTATTTTGAGCCCTTTTTTTCCCCTGAGGGAGGCCAATACCCATACATAATATATCATTGGATCCCAATAAGTTTCTTGTAACAGAAATGTTGCAGTTAAGTGGGTAAACTATGCTGTGATGTGACTGACCTGAGATGCTCTACCACCTGGTCTATCCGTGACACATTCAAGTTGTCCTGCAGTCTGTCTATCTGGTCACTCATACCAGAGGAGATGGACATCCTGTGGGCATAGAAGACCAGTATCATACACTTATTCCATCACTGCCTTATGCAAGATGGTCAACTATTTGGTAGCATTTGTGACAGAGTTTCCAATAGTGTTTTTTTTATTAAACTGCATAACTCAAGAAGTTATGGACTGATTGCTATGAAATTTGCTATGTGGTTAAGTCTCGACCTATCAAAGATATAGTTACTTTCTGGGCCCCCTTGCATGTTTTCTTGGTACTGCCGTGGAGGTCGTGTTGTTGACAATTAGGTTTTGGTCCACATTTATAGATGATATACAATGTAATGTATAACTAGAAAGGTAACATTTGCCAAGCAAATGCATGTTTACCTTTCCATATGGTCTGCTCTGTTAATTCTTACTCAAAAACATTCATATATATGGTGACTGGAGTCTAAATCCTTGCTACTATAAAATTGCAACATGTAGCCCAACACGAGTTACCATGGTGACAGACGTCTGGTCCAGGTCATTGACCTTTTGTGTTTGGGGAAGAGGAAACTGAGCAAAAAAAATGTTTTCCTTTGGTAAACATATAATCATAATTGCCACCATCTAGTTGGATTTGTTGGGTTGAATAAAGTTTGTTTGCTGCTGCCTTACCTATCATCATCACTAGAGGGCGTCGCTGTACGCCTGAGTGGAGTCTCCCTGCCACTCCTGCTGCTGCGGGCAGACGATGGGCGACTTCCTGACGTAGAAGGTCGGCTGCCAACATGGCCAGTGGCTGCAGGGTGACACAACATGTTCTTAATTGAAGTTGCCCAATTATCATATATAAAAACTGACTAGGACGGAAGTATTGTTATGTGCTATGCTTGATGTTTATTCCTGGAAGTTGCAACACATAATAAACATGCAAATTCACTGGTTTGACTCTTCCACATTTGACTCATCACTCATAAAAAGTGATTTGTAGCTACCACTCATGTCTATTCTAAATCTCCTCAGGCAGAGTGTAGTAAGTGCATTATCTCAGCCTTACCTTTGTCAGTAAGAGCATACTGAATCACTCCTGGGTTGTGTTTTGACAATAAGTCCTGCACATTCCTGCAACACAAAATACCCAAATCATTTGTTGTTGTTTTTTTCTAAAACTTCTGGGAACAAGAATGTACATGCAAGAAATTCATAGACAACATAGAATGCCTTAAATTGTCTTAACAGTTCAATTTGAATTAAATTAAAATAGACAAGTGTAAAATGACCCGAACTGTGAGAGAAGGGAAGATTCCGAATTTTCTTAACTGTCCTTCTTGATGTTTTGTAACTACCTTAAGATTTAATGCTGTAAATCTTGAATATTTTAGCATTAGTAAGTTTTCAGTTTCAATAGTGCAAAAGTTAGTTTACACATTATAGTGTATGTACATTTATTATCTTATTTTTGTAACCCCTTAGAAAACTACTATGTAGGGTTCTAGCTAGCACAAAGTAGCGTAGATTTTGACCCCCTATGCTAAATTTCCCCCCTACGCTATAATTTTGACCCCCTACTCTAAATTTCCCCCCTACACATTCAGCATAGGGGCATTGTGACTGTATTTCTTTGTTCAAGAATGCCAGATCAAATGTGGAAAATTACCAATCAAGGATGCATTGTACATACCTTAGAAATAACATTTTTTCCCTTTGGGGATCCCTCAAATGGCCCCTTTTTAGGTCAAATTTTTAAAAGCTCTGCACCACAGAAGGAGGGCCCATCGACAGGCAGCCAGTACCACTACGCTAAAATTACATCCTAGCTAGAACCCTACTAGGTTAAAAAAACCTGACCCTTACCTCCCCTCAGAGTTGGCACGTTCCTTCAGGTTCTGCAGCAGGAACTTGATCTCATCCACGATCAGTTCCCTCTGGCGCGGCGGCTCTGGGAGGTGGCCGGATCCCAGACCAGATCCCCCGCCGGATCCCCGCCGGATCAACTGCTCCGTGTCGTCTCGATAATCCTGCCAGATCTCTAGCAGAGTTCTCACCTGTCAATCAATGTTGATCTTTAGGATTAACTTAATAAGCCACAGGATTTAGGTTCAAAATGTACATGTTTTTCTAAGTAAGATCAACAAGTTACATTATGCTATCATGAATTTCAAGCTCCGTTCGTAGTTACATTCTTAAACTTAAAATTTTGGTTCCAACACAAAAAATAGCTCTACATGACAGGGGAGTTGAAGCAACCAAGGAGGTTCCTTTTTGAACCTCCTTGGAGCAACAAATTGTACTCTCTGACGAACCAACTCCCCTGGCATATCATCTGTCTTTTGGGCCCATTTCTACTCTTTCAAGCCACTAATTCTAAAGCTTGGTAGAGGATAGGTTTATTGCAGCCCAGGTATACTAGAAGGCTTATGACTATAACGTTAACATAAAACTATTTACATCCACTATACACTAGGAACACAACTATAAGTTCTAACTGACCTCTGTATGCAGCTCCAAGCTTTGCTCCACCAAGGTCGTTCCCAGAATGCCCTTCACCTCCTCTAGCTCACCGGCGGGTACGTGCTCCTCCACCGTCCGCCATAACGACATCGGCGGCTCGTACGCCTCAAGGTCAAAACTGGCCTCAAGGTCAGGAAGGGGACTATCCATTCTTCCTGGGTGTCCTCGAGTGTCACGTAAGAGATCCTACCATCTTAAAGCTGAGAAAGTTTTCAAGAAGTTTTCTTCCTTGGCTGAGAAAGTTTTTCCACAAGTTTTTCACTTAAATTTCCATCATTCCAACTCATGTAAGGAATCTTCCCATCTTAAAAGTAGCATTGTTAAATCTTCTACTAAGAAAGGGAGCTGCTTTTCTTCCTTGTGTCTTGATTGTGTCACATTATGTTTAAGTCCAGAGTTTGCATCTCCATGGTAGGATTGGATAGTGAGTCTCCCACTACAGAACAATTCATACAAAAAAATAAAGTTAGTTAATCAAACAAAAGCATTGTATTTGATACATTATGTGTATTTATCTACTTGTTTGAATATTTAGTTTCTAACTTGCAGGCAGCAGCTACAACTTATGACACAGTGTTGTGCTATTCTTTAATTTATATAATATTCTACAATTTTATCTTCAACTAAATTCAAGGCAACCCTTGTAGACAAAAATAGGGCCCCTCCCACCCGGCGATACAAAATCCGTTCTATGAAATCATTTGGGAAGAATCATACAAACTGGCCTAACGTTACTAGAATCCCTTATTGTCGATTTTAACACCCAGTGCACCGTCAATTTTACTGCTGAACTGCAAAAAAAAAAAAGTTAGACAGCAACCTGTAACCAGGGGTGGGAGGGGGGCGGAGGGAGTTCTATATGTTGCGCCAATCTGCCGAAACTGTTGCGTTTACGACGACCCCAGGACCATATCATAGCTAACTACGGGTATATCAAGTACCTTGTACTCACGTTCTAACACTGGATGGAGAAAGGGTTGCTAATTTCACGAATAAAACGTTGTTGTAGAAACCATCAACCCGCCAAGCTTTGGCACGGATCTACAGTATCACCAAGAACAACAGAGCGCAGCAAAACGACAAATCACGGCCAGAAGAAATACATGAGATCATCTTCTTAAAGTCATTAAGCCCAGATTTTGAATCCCGTAATGCTTTATTTATAAAAAAGCAATATCTAAAAGTTAATTTTGTTGCTTATATGCAGTTATATCGTTGTGAAATGCTGCCTTGCGTTGCACTCTAACTAATCCCACATGCGTTGTGCTGCGTTCAATTCTGGCCAACCCTCCCTTTGAAAATAACGCACGGTCCCTTGTACACCATGGCATCTCTGATGTTTGAAGGGATGTGCATAATTTCAATTTTAATAGCGTAAATGTATAGCAAATCGTCTGAGTCTAATATAAAGCGTTGTCAGTCGATTTGCTATAACGTTACTTTTGTTATCCCTTGCACACACCACCACCACCACCTTGATGACAACCGGTCGGTCCCCAACACCTCCCGCCATCTTGACAGAAGCAGACGATCCATCTAAAACTGACATAAATACTGCACTGGGACCTTTCCCGCTCCCCATGGATTCTACATAACAACACGGTAGCACGGTGGGTCGATCCTCTTTCCTTCCGTAAGACTTTGGTACATTATGAACAGATGAAACAGAACTTATACGATTTACCTTTAGAAAGGGGGAGGGGGGTTATGTTTGCGAGTCAGGCGAAAATCTAGATAATTTATCCTTGGTCACAGCGAACGATATCGAAAGTATAATATTATAACTTTTCTATAAAATTGCATATTGCTAAGAATGTTAACGTTAACTGTTTCCAGTGCGATTACTTTGATACTGTGCCAAAATTATAAGCGCAAGCATAATTGATCCCTGTCTTTGTAAACAAGCGCCACAGTAACACACAAACAAATCACTGTTGTTCACTCCAATTTACCACAACAAGTTAAATTATGCAGGAATGCAGGTAACTACAAAAATTGTTACAACAAAAACAAGAAGGGTAAGCAGGTAACTACAAAAAACGTGTGATTTGAAAATACATTTGCATGAATCTAAATGAATGACCTGAATGACTGATTGTGTTAAATAAATTGATTTGGAAGTTCTTGCCTTGAACCCAATCAATTATTTCATTATGTTTAACAAAGGAAAACATATTGTTTTTGCTCTGTTTCCTCGTCTTCTTCTTCTCCATACCAAAAAGGTCAATGACCTGAATCAGACTGTCTATTACCATGGTAACTAGTGTTGCTTTCCATCATGTTGCAATTTTATAGCAGGAGGGATTTGGACTCCTGTCTGACTGACTGTATGAATGTGTTTGAGTAAGAATTTAACAGAGCAGACCATACGGGAAGGTAAACATTATGCATTTGCTTTGCAAATGTTATTATTACCTTTCTAGTTTTGCATGTATGTTTTAAAAGAGAGTTATGAAAACTTATGATATGCTTAGTTTGCAAATTTATGTTTTCCCTTGCAGGCTACTTTACACTTACAACTATGGAGGATATCATGGAGGCATTTGACATCAAGGACCTTACCATTCCGCAAGTGGGGGGTTCCCAGGCCATGAAGGGGAGGGACAGCAATGTCAGTAGTGGTTCGACCCACAGCCCAGCCATGGATGGCATCGGTCCCTCACAAACAACATCCTTACCCTACATGAGTACAGATTTACCCACAGCTAGTCACGACTGGTACCAGCCAGCTTCTGGAGTGTGTTCCGACACTGAACAATTCGGCCAAGCACACCCGTGGTAAGTAACCCAAAGGAACTCCAACTTAGCACATCGTCAGAATGTACTGTACCTGTGCGAAACTCGGATTTTTCACAGTTTTCACTGGATGTTTGGTCAACGTTGCATCAGAATTTTGCGTTTTGCAAATGATATCTTTATCGACACAACAGTTGTAAAATATAGACGGGATGTCACCCTTGAATACGCAAATACATCTTTAAATGAGACCTAAACAAAGTACTATGCAATATCCCATAAACTTAAGGTTTCACATAGGCACAGTACATTCTACTGCTATCCTACGCCCACTTTATAAGCATTATAAAATGACTGGTACCAATGGACTGAGTACTGCTGCCTACAATTGTGCAAAGAAAAATGTTCATATGGAATTTAGCATTAAACAGTATTGATGAGGTATGCCCATGTGTCAGATTATGTAGAAAATTGTATTGTCACTGAATGGAATAGTAGTACTTAAAATAATGTTTCTTTCACACAAACAGGTTCTCCAAAAACACCACCAGGAAAACCATCTCTGATGTCAACGTCTTCAAGAGATTCTGCTCCGCGCCTCCGTTCAACGAGCCCCGCCCTCCCGAGGAGATCCCGCCATCCCAGCTCTGTCCGCTCCTCATATCGTACTTCACGTCCTGTAAGAAAAACAACGGGCAGAACTACGAACCCGAGTCGCTCAACAGCATGCTGCGCTCCATGGAGCGCTACCTCAAGGCCAGCGGTTACATGTACAGCGTTGTCCAGTCGGAGGAGTTTCGCGAACTCCGTCTGAGTATCAAGCGACGAAAGGACGAGCTTAAAGAGCTGAGCCACGTGAAGAACTCGACGGAAACTGTCTCGAAGAGGAATTTCCCCACAGACGAAGAAGAGATGGTGCTGTACTCCAAAGGGGTGATTGGGATGACGAACCCGTTCAGTCTGCTGTGTGCAATGTGGATCATCAACTCTAAGTACTTCCGTATCAAGTCACGAGAGACGACGGTCAGTCTCCGCTGGGGGGAGATCCAGCTGAAGAAGCTGGCCAATGGGAACGAGTATCTGGAGTACGCGTCCCTGACAACAGACAACCCTGTGGCACGTAAGGTTCGTATCACACATTGGGCATTTCCACTCTTTACTGCAATTAGCCATGGCTTTGGCTTGGCTGGAAGGTTTCAATTGGTTTTTCACAAATGGTAGGTTTGAAATGAGTCAAAAACTTATTAATAGATTTATACGTTATTTAGTTTTTCATGAGAAGTATAATATTTAAAGGGAGGAATCTAGAAATTTTGAAAGGACTATGATTGAATATGAAGCTTTACAAAAATGGACTATCCCCCTAGCAGCCTTTCTTAAAACTGCAGATTACCTTTAAAATTGCAATGTCAGGTACATTGTAAAACTTCAGGTTGGTCACAACTTATGTAGACTTTGAACTGCTTTGATAGTTACATTTGGGACAGTTTTAACTTCAGCATGATTGTGTGATGCATTTTTTTACATTTATCACAATATTCATGCTCAGTGCATCAATAATGTGTCCTTAAATCTGCTTCACATATGTATATATGGTTTTCTGGAGCACATTGGACCTTCAAACGATCATGTCTTGTTGTACAAACCTGCAGGCCTGGGCGGTGGTTCAGGGGAACCTCCCGTGTCCCGTGGTGGTGTACAAACAGTACGCGCTGCACCGTCCTGATGCCATGATGCACCCTGATGCACCCTTCTACCTCGGCTACTGGAGGAAGCTGCCATCCAACAAGGTGGGACAGACAAGCACGACAGTCGGCAGAACGTACTACACCTGCGCAAAACCCGTAATGTATTGTACATGGCACTTTGGCAGAATGTCTCATATAAGGTCGTATTGGGTCATATAAGGTTAGCATTTCGACAGTAGCTTCCAAATGTTGTGTCAGAAAAGATATCTTCTGCAACATTGATGCAACGTGAACCAAAAAAACAACGAAAAACGCTAAAATCCAGGGTTCTGCGCAGTACGTTCTGCCAACGTGCTGGACAGACACTGGTATATACGTGGTGTTGGGCGTAGCGGTCGAGCATTAAACTCTGAAACTGAGACCCGGGTTCTATCCCAAGTTGTACCCGGGACATGTCTGGACATGCGCCCCGATGTTGTGCCCTTGCAAAGGCACTTTTCACAACTTTCCTCACTCCAGCCAGGTGTGAATGGGTACCTAACTTCGGTTGGGGAAAGTCGTATTGAGGTCACCTGGTGGTACCGAATGGTAGCCACACAGACCCTTGCGACAGTTCTACAAAAGTGTGTGTGGAGCAAATATGTTATATGTATCATGTGTATTGTGTCATTTCAGTACTATAAAAGGCTGCGATTGCACGGGTAATGTTTGACCAATAAACCATGTCTTCTTATTATTATCATACTTGCAAGGCCGGCGTCTCACTGTCAATGGCCTTTGCCAAAAGTTTTAAAACTGACAGAGAAAGCACATAAAATCTACCTTATCACATTAGATAGGGTTCAGTCAGTGGCCTGAGAACATCAGCCAATTCCTATAGAATATAAGAAGAGAAAGAGGACAACAGCTTTATTCTGACCCAAAATTTTCCTTTGGAGCTTAACACATTCAGTGGGCAAGCTACTGGTATATTACTCTTTACTGCTATGTGATGCCCACTTAAGAAATAGTTTGAAGCAAAGGGTGCTCATTTCCTGTTTATTTATTTATTTATTTATTAAGTTTTACCATGTACAATATGCACAGTGGATGGCATGGTGAAACAGGTGTTTCTGACATGAAACACCTTTTCAAAGCCGCCATACCAATAGAATGACAAAACAATACAAAAAGTAATCAAATCACATAATACAATTAGAGAAACAGATAAATAAACTTAGAACTACAAGGCAAGTCAACTTATTTACATTATTTACAGCAGTAATGTCACAGTTAGCGCGGTCTTGTGGCCAGGCATGTAGCGCAGTCACAAGATAACTGCCACGTACAGGGTTGCTCTAAACTGTAAGTTTGGCAGAATCTGTTATATATAAATGCGGAGAATTTCCTTTTAAAGGCAACCACATCAGTTAGGATTGAAGCCCTGATTCCTAACCCTCTAGTATCTGCATCAAGCTTGTTCCAAATCATTGTAACACGTGGTATAAACGAAGATCCAATTTTCTTTATCTTTAGGTTTGGTTCAGAGAACAGGGGCTTGGCAAGGAGAGCATCCTGAGGATGAAATCCTTACTGAAGGAGCAGGCACAGAACATGAACCTACCTGTCCCTGTATGGTTACGGGTTTGTACTTACAAGTTGTCTTTCTGTGAAATACCTCGAATATACACTGAAATGTACCTAAACAATTATAATGATGCCAGAGTTGTCAGAGTTTTGTGTTAATGAGTCTATAGCTAATAAAATTTGTGTTTTTCGAACTTTAACTTAAAGTCTGAAAGTATTGTGGTTTAGTTTCAAATTTCAAAAATCAGCCTTGCAGCTAGTACACAAACAAGCTGAATAACACTGATTTTTTTACAATTGTGTAGTAAGTAAGAACAAGTACAAAATTAAGATTACAATACTTATACAGACACACAAACAAACACATTACATGTTACAAAGCCACACATGGGCAGTTGAGGACTGAGTTGCAGACTTATGTGCCCTTTGTGCAATATATTATTTGTAACTTATGTGTCTAAATGTAACATCCTAAAAAAGTGCATTAAACATTAATGCATTGCACAGAAATGCATTCTTGTTAGAATAGAATTAAGAGAACTGCGAATGCAAAGATGTCCGAATTAACAGGCCATGTTGTCTTTCTTCAGGTGCTGATCCATCCTGATATGACCTCTGACACGACCTCTGACATGACCTCTGACATGACCCCTACCATGACCCCTGCTCTGCCCGAGGTGCCATCTACAGCTATGGCTCCCACCACCCCCTCCACTACCAGACATCCTACACCCCCTACCATGGTACCCACCCCAACTACCATGTTATCCAACCCCCCAGCTGTATTACACACCAAACCTGTCATGCTACCCACACCTCCTTCCTTGCCACCCCCCTGTACCAGTATGGGTCCCCCCCTTCCGACACCCCCAACTTCTTCCTTTTCGGAGTCCCCCGCTGTGTTCCATACAGCAGCCCGACGCGTACCCGTTCGCAGTCCTGACCCATGTGAGCCACCACGGAAGGCTCCATGTCTCACACCTGCGGGACGTCAAACTGGCAGAACAGGTGAGATTCAACTCAGGGAGTAATTAGTGTGATGCTGAACACCTGAAGTTACATACAAAATCAAACTAGAAAGGTAGTGCAAAGCGAATGCATAATGTTTACCTTTGCATATGGTCTGCTCTGTTAATTCTCACTCAAACACATTCATATATATGGTGACAGGAGTCTAAATCCCTTCTGCTATAAAATTGCAACATGATGTGTCCCAACACCAGTTACCATGGTGACAGACCACGTTATCTGGTTCAGGTCATTGACCTTATTTGTTTGGAGAAGAAGAAGAGGAAACAGAGCAAAAACAACATATTTTCCTTCAGTAAACATAATAAAAAGTTTACGTTATTAACTTGCAGTATTGAAAAAGCTTTATCGTCTGATTTCAATCAAAACTTACTTGTCTTCCTTGTCTCACCGTCTCCCAGGTGACACCTCAGTCCTGCCAGCACCAGTACTTTATGAGGTTCCTGTACACAACTCTTCCACTAGAGATCTTCCCCCCAATCAACATGCCAAAGAAGGTGCCAAACAACCCACCAATCAAAACCCTAGCCAGGTATGGAAATGGTGTTTCACATCGTCATATTATTTATTATGTTGTGACACAGTCGCACGTACCTTGTATGTGTCTGTCTGCAGGTGCAGCTGCATGAGAGACTGCAGGTGCTGCAGGCAGAGAGGATTCAGCTGCAACAGTTGTAACTCCTGTATGTATCTGCATGAGTACAGGTGCTGCAGGAAGAAAAGGTACAGCTGCAGCTGTTGATACTTAAGTGTTAGAATGAGACAGAAAGGCCAAGGAAAATAAATGTTGTGTTTCCTGTTTCCCAACTGACCCTAAAAAAAACTGCCGACCCTAGCCTTTTTCTTGTGTGGACCCCTGCCTATTGCCAAAATGATTGCTGTGTAACAGTGTGCTCAGGACCGGTTCCAGACTTAAAGTTAAAAGCGTTTCGATTAATGTCCAAACAGTGATGAAATATTGCACAATCGATTTTCCAACATGTTCTGCTTATATAAACACACCAATCACCAAATTCTAATAAAAGAAAAAAAAAAGAAAATTATCCCTACCTACCGACCCAATTTTCTTCAGGAGTGAAACAGGAAACACAACATTTTTTTCCTTGGCCTAACTCCTGTATGTTTCTGACTGCAGATGGAGCTGCATAAGAAAGTGCAGGTGCTGCAGCAAGAGAAGGTTCAGCTGCAGCAGTCGGTACTAGTGTTAGAACAAGACAGTAACTCCTGTATGTTTCTGCCTGCAGATGGAGCTGCGTGAGAAAGTGCAGGTGCTGCAGGAAGAGAAGGTTCAGCTGCAGCAGTCGGTACTAGTGTTAGAACGATGCAGTAACTCCTGTATGTGTCTGTCTGCAGATGGAGCTGCCTGAGAAAGTGCAGGTGCTGCAGGCAGAGAAGGTTCAGCTGCAGCTGTTAATACTACTAAGTGTTAGAATCACACAGTAACACCTGTATGTGTCTATCTGCATGAGAAAGTGCAGGTCCTGCAGAAAAAGAAGGTTCAGCTGCAGCAGTCGGTACTAGTGTTAGAACAAGACAGTAACTCCTGTATGTTTCTGCCTGCAGATGGAGCTGCGTGAGAAAGTGCAGGTGCTGCAGGAAGAGAAGGTTCAGCTGCAGCAGTCGGTACTGGTGTTAGAACGAGACAAGGCCGTCCTGCAGGCCAAACTGGCCCAGATGAAGCTTGCCCTCAGGGAGATGGAGATGCAACCAGTTGGAGAAAGTAACAGTGAGTATCATTGTTTTCCCCTGTTGATGTGTGTGTTTGTGTGACGTGTGTGTGTGTGTTTGCATGTGCTTGTGTGCATTCGTGCTTGTGTGTTTGTGTATGTGTATGTTCACGTGTGTGCTAGCATTTGTTTGTGTGTGTGTTCAGGCATGTGTATGTGTGTTTATTCACTACATGTTCTGTATAACAGGAGCTTTCTGACTAATTTGCATTATCTTGTCTTGACTTGTCTGACTTTTGTTCCTTTTACGACTTCCAAAAATTTGTCTTCACTTTATTTGCATATCAATCAATAGTTTGTGCTTATAAACCTGCATTTCCCCTCTGGTCTCTCAGTCACTGACGAAAGCTAGTGGATACTAGCTGAAACGTCTGACGTTTTCAAAATCATATTCAGTTGCTTGAGTAACTGCTTTTTGGCGCGTGTTCTGTATGATCTGCAAGTGTAGCCTCTGTATGTTTTGCCGGAGAAATATTTAGTCTTTATATCTCTGATTATTCCACGTTTTCCTCCCCAGAAGTTGGTGATGCGACGCAGACCTTCATGCTGGAGATGCAGAAGAACCTGATCTCTCAGTTCCAGGAAAACATCATCCGGCTGCAGAAGGACTTCCTGGAAGAGAAACGCAAGGCCGTGGAGGAGACCAAGAGGAAACAATGGGTAAGGGACAAAAAATGGCTTTTGACAATTAGAGGTGGTGAACCTAACCTGCTAGCCCTTCTATTCCCACAGACAAAGATAGCAGCTCTGAGAATATACAGTATTGTGATACTACATTAGAGTCAACAAACACACACACAGACAGACAAACCAGAAACAATACCTCTTTCCCCTTGGGGTGAAGTGATAACTTAAAGGATAAAGGACTGTTCAGTAATTTTTGTATTTTGTTATTTTTCAATCCACATCAATTTGAGGTCTTTGCAATTTTTTCCATTTAGGAAGATTTACCACATTTCTGGAAGAATAATATTATTGACATAACGGTGACCATTACCTCTTTAAAGTAAAGATGTCAAACCTGAGACCAGACTGCCATTATGTGCTCTTTTGGTAATGTCAACCTCAAGACCTGCAAATTATCAACTCATGACACTCATGACACATTTTGCCATGTCTACAAACCATCCATTCATTCTTCCTGTCATTTATTCCCTCCGTCTCCTCCATCAGTGCATCCAGTGTGGAAAGGAGGCCAGGCTGTACTGTTGCTGGAACACCAGTTACTGTGACTTCTCCTGCCAGCAAGCCCATTGGCCGGTTCACATGAGCACATGTCACCAGCAGACCAATCAGCAGCCAGCACCAGCTGCACCTCAGCCAATGGATGAAGAGAGGAGTCTCGTTCCCAGGTCATCAGAGAAGACTCTCGTTCCCAGGCCATTCCTTCAACAGCCGGTGATCATTCCAGCTAAGGCAGAGCCAGATTCCTCCAGCCAGCTGACGGCTGCAAGTGGTTCAGGTGGTTCTGTGAGCAGGTTGGGCCAGGTGGCAGCCGGTCGTGGGCCGCCTAGGTGTGTGGACATGCATGAAAGGGAGGAGGGTGGGGGGAACAATGACAGTCCCTCACCAACGTCACAGAACCAGACAGGAAACAGCACACAACGGAGGAAGAACGACCACAGCTACTCACACAAGTAGAGAGTAGACAAGATCGTAATGCTTTTATCATCCACAGTATTCACAGTATTGTTGCAGATCTATTTATATACAATGTACTAATGTAATGTTGGACATGATGTACAATATGTCCCATGTGTATATGTAGTTATTGTGTACTCGTACTGAAGATATTTAAGACAACATCAGGCCATTTTCCAGGCCCTGAAGCAAAATATGTTTTTTATACCTCTGTTCCAACTGTCGGTGCGTTTATTTTTATTGATAGCTGTCAGCAGTATATGTGATTTGAGTGACGTTTGTTTACTCAGGACAGCTGTCTGTTTTTTTTTTGTTTGTTTGTTTGTTGGTTGGTCATCAGTATATACTTTTTTAAGATGACCACTGTTTATGTGACAGCTGTGTAGTTTTAACACTACTCACATTTTTATATAGTTTTATTATGTAGTGAGTTGAGATAGTGAGAAAGATAACATTGAGTTATTTATATTATGTATACTAACTTATGTATGTTGAAGCTTATTTTTGTTATATTTTTTTTACACATATCTGCAAAGTTATTTCTGTACAACTATGTTACCATACTGGTGTTAGCACAGACTTTGCCAAGTGCTCTGTTTCAGAACTTTTTTCATCTGAGAATTTGGAATATCTGGAAAACAAACCACATGTACATGTGTTTAAAGTTAAAACTTTTGTTCCAACACAAAAAATTCTCTCACCTAGAGCTTTCGACCAGTCTCTCTGGTCTTCCTCAGTAGGCTGACCCAGTGAAGCTTGTCACGTGGCTTCTTTGAAGTGTGACGTCAACACTGGGTCAAAGGTATCTGGTAGACGATGTCGACCCCCGTCGCAGTTCAATGTAGGGTGATGGGTCCTGATGTATATGGCTTCCTTCACCCCTCTCAAGAAATAGTCTTGTTCAGTGTCTAAAATCCTTACAGTGTCAAGTGAAACAAAATGTCCGGGTGACTCTATGTGGATGTGTTGAGACACCTCTGAACTGGCAGAGCTAGGCCGTGTATGTTCTTGAAACCTGGCTTTTAGAGACCTCTCTGTTTCCCCAATGTACGTTTCCTGGCAGGGCCCCTTCTTGTTTCTGGGTCAGTCTACTGAGGAAGACCAGAGTGACTGGTCGAAAGCTCTAGGTGAATTTTTGTGTTGGACCAAAAGTTTTAACTTTAAACATGTAACACAGATGAACTTTCATAACAAATGTACATGTAATACAGAGAAAGCTCTTGTTGGTTGCTAGTTAATGACAAGGTTCATAGAATTCTAAAACACAAGTTTTATTAATACATTTATCATGTTACCATGGCGACCCCATGATGTGGTCTTTTCATAAACTTCATTTTAACCATAATCATGTTTCACTCTCTAACATGGGGAAGGGAAATGTATTGTCTCTCTGTCGTTTCTTTTCCAACAATTTTGATCAAACAATGGTCAAAACTACTTATTAACCCTCAAACACCCGAACTTTTTTTTGTGATGGAAATGACCGAACGGGGTCCCCATTTGGTTTCTTTGTAATTTATATTCCGTATTGCATTCTTTCAGTGATCTTTGCACATATATTGGTTAAACATAGTAAGTATATTTTGGCATGATCAAGTGTTATAAAATTCCAGCTCATTATCATAATTTATGCAAAAAATAGGATGAGGCCTGCAGGCATGAACATGGGTTGACCTTTGAGCTCATATGATTGTCAAAGGTGAAATTCCTATGAAAACCTGATGACCTAATTCCAGAGGTTTAGGACACTTGGCAAACTGCATAATATTAAAGCAATAATGCTTTCTTGAAGACATATTGAGGACATCCGAACAATTTCGTGTGTAGGAAAGTGCAAAAATATGGCTGGGGGCCGTTTGGACACCAGACGGTCTTACATCAGACTTCTCGTTATTTTTACAAATTTGTGTCGATCTCAACAAAAAATTTAGAGGTTTATTGACAAAGTCACGGGAGGAATTTTTTTTCGAATCAAAAAGTACAAATACCACACAAAAATATACGCGTGGGGTCCAAATGGATCCCGTTTGGGTGTTTGAGGGTAAAGGCATACAAGAACTTAGTAATATGCTAAATACAGAAAAAGGAAGGATGGGCAACAGAACAGAAATGCCTTAAAATTTGTAACTTTATTCCTTTGGCATAATGTTTAACATATGAAGTGAGAAAGGCCTCAACTGACTTTTGAATGACTACATATAAACTGACATATACATACACAGGTGTCAACAGCTCATTTTATTCGAAAATTCAAAACAAAATTTAAACAAAACGAAAATTTGCAACAAATAAAAACGACTTGAACAAATGCATGTTAACATAACCAAAACCGAAAAAAACACTTCACATATGTACGTCAAGATTAAATAGGTTATGTAACTATAGTATAACTACAAAATGTAAAAGCATACATTAGCATACAAAAGCATAATATCAGCATACATTAGCATACAAAAGCATAATATCAGCAACAACACCAGTCTTTACCTACTTACAACTACATGAACTAATTCTATCATCTATCGCAAGCATTAGTCTTAAATAAGATAACAAATACTTACTTACTAAAAACTGATTCTGTAACTGTATAGGTTAAGTTAACAGAATAAACAATAACATGCTAATATTGAATGGTAATCCTATAAAAAGTCTCTTCCTCTGTAACAAAACTAAAGAACATTAAAGAAGTGACCTATGGTTAGTTAGTGCGATATACAGTACTGGGCATTCCACATATCAGACAAGTTGCTATGCTATGCCGTGGATTGCTACAAATTGGATGTACCACGTGCACATTTCCAATGTCTCCAATTTACAACAAACAAAACATTCTATGAAAGATACTGCAAAATTCATATACAGAGGGGTGGGGGGGTGTTGAGAGAGAATCCACATTTCAAACAAGAAACCTTCGCCAGAACCATAATTAATATTGCCAACCTTTGTGCATTGTAAGAAATAGAATATCACCTGGGGTGAAAGTAGGAAATACAGATAGAAGAGGAAAGGGAGACATCTAACCTGCAAAACTTCTGTTCCATTGAAGAATATTTTAAAGAGGGAAAAGAAAATATGAGTATTGCTGCCGCTGTATTCACCCAATCTCGCCAAATTCTACTATTTTGTGTTTCTTTTTGTGATTGCAGCAAGAAAATATAATGTTGGCCCTAGGCAGCTGCTAGCTGGCAATGGGACGACTACATATTTCATACATGCATATTATAACAACAGTCAACACAGCGTAAATACAATGAAATATCGATAAATAGCATCAGATAATACAATATAGCTATTTTGTTGACAACCACTTGACAACCGAAGTGGGAGGGGGGTCTTGGGCGTCTCTACTAATCACGAGATGACATTTTGAGTTCTCACGTATGTAAAATAGATTTCATTGATGTTCTGCTTACCAGCCCAGATTTAATTATTTTTCCACGAAATGAGTCTGCCTCTTGCAGAAAAACAAAATGCTATTGCATCACCTCATGCCACGTCATTCTTTTAAGTAAGAGTAATTAAAGGTATTATTCATGATTTGTTGTACAGTTATACACTGCGCAACAATACAGTCTGCACAGTACGGTCGAAATGTACGAGCAGGCAGAGCCTGTCCGGTCGCCTTTCTCCGGCCCCGACAGCCGCCAAAGCAGCAACCCGCCGCCCCAACCCCGTCCCGTCCGTCAGAGTGGTTCACGCGGGCGTGTCCGCCATGGCAACGGCGCTTCCGACAAGCAGCGGCCGCGGGAAGACCAGGACACGTCTTCACACACGTACGAAAACGCCGAGGAGGCGAAACGTTACGCAACGTCTGCAGGTAACCGGCGCTTTTCACACCTGCCTTTAACAGTGGATATTTGTACAATCATAAAAAAATTTTTCTGCAGACTTTTATTGCATACTTTGCTGTATAGGTTAATTTGATGACAACAAGGAGGTTCAAAACAAGAAATCACTCTTTTTTCTTTTTAAAGAAAAAAACAGATCATTCAACCAAAAACCATAATCAAATAATGGTAATAGAAGTTCAAATTTTGATGATACTAGTAATGATAACAAGTATTCAAAATACAGTGGACTCGTAATTATATGATAAAGGTTTCGAGTATAATCACGCCAGTCTTAACTGTATACGTTCCGCATGTAAAATTCATCAGCAGGGTACGCGAACGTTCTCGCACCTGTGAGCATTTGTCAAAGGTAGACTGTTTCTCTCCAATGTTATAGTACTCCTGGGTAAAATGTTTATTTTTAAAAATCGTAAGTATACCTTAAGTTTATCTGCATTTATATCTTATGTTTCTTACTTTTATAGACTAGAATTAAACATTGCGTATAGGCAACACAAACTATTAAAACATAGGGGGAAATGGGGAAAATTAAATACAATTTTCTCAGAATAGATAAAAAGTTGTTTAACAAATATTTAAAAGAGTTAAAAAATCCCATTTGTATTTTTAAACCATGTAATTAGGGGCAACAGGGTTTATCTGTAAAATTTCCACAACACTATTGTACCTTAGCCTGTGTATACACAAGCTCTCGGCTGGAGGTTAATGACCCCCACGGCGGCAACCTAGGGCGGCGGCCGCCAGGAGCGCGATTTAGTCAGGCTATATTGTACCTGGATTTTACGTTTTGTTTTTGTGGTTCACCATGTATTCCTTTTTTCACAATGCCATGCCATATTTTGTTACCGTTAATTTATTTGGGAAAATTCAATAAAGAAAGATTTTTAAAAAAAAAGGTAGACTGTTCCCTGCCTCGGGAAAATCTGATATCATGCAGTTAGCTTAGAGAGATATGAATATTATGCAAATGGGGATTTGACTTCCATACGTATTGAGCAAATTCTTTAATTCCATCATTTTACATATTAAATGCACGTACTTTACTACACGTAGCATACGTAATGTATGGCAGGTGGAACACTGATAGTAACAGACGCCAATTCTGCAAGGAATCGATTAATTTGCACAATAAATACGAAAATGCTGGTGTTTCTTGGTGATAAATTTTGTGAATTTTCATACATGTGTAAGGTAGTTGAAACAGAGCATCACCGTTTACACATTATGGAAATGCGGAGGTTGTTTGCATAATTACCCCCATGAAAAATGGAGGTATTGTTTTTGGTGTGTCTGTCTGTCTGTATGTATGTATGTCTGTGTGTGTGTCTGTCTGTCTGTCTGTCTGTGTGTGTTTCCGCAACTTTGTGGTCAGCATAACTTCAGAACGCCTTTATGGATTATGATGATATTTGGTATGTTGGTAAGTCTTAGGAAGACAAACGTCAAGGTCAAATATGGGCCTCCTGGTGGATGACCTTGGTACTGCAGCAGAACTTCCGGTTTTTGTATCTTTTGTCCTGAACATGCTATGGTCTTGATGTTTTGGTGACAGATTGCTTTTTCTGTCAGGAATAACTGGTGTAAGTTTGGTCCCCCTAGCAGCTTGTTCTGGAACTGCAGGGCACTCTCTGGCGAAATGTTTAAAAGCCAATAAGGCCAGATAGGAACAACATATTTTCATAATTTTTGGTGTGTAGGTAGCTGAGAGAAAGATGTACATGATTAAATGCAAATTATGCAAATGAGGACTTTATTTGCATAATTAATGAGGAAATTCTATGATTACAGTGTTTTACATTATACTACTTTTATACATGTAATGTATGTAACCTATGGCAGGCAGAACATCAACAGATACTAATTATGCAAATGATGACCTAATTTGCATAATTAATGCGAAAATTCTATGATTTCTTAATGGTGAATGATGGGAATGTCATACTTGGGACATCTGTAAGTTAATCAAAAGTTAACATCACGATGCATATATTATGTTAATGCAGAGGTCGTTTGCATAATTAAAGAAGAAGTTTACATTTACATATCAAGCCCATATTTCATGGAGGTATGAAGTCTCGGAATTCTTGGTTATAAATTCGTGTTCAGTTGTTATGTTTTTTTTTTCACTTAAAAAAAGAAAACGATGAATAATGAATTATTTACAAGCAAATGTGCAGGGTAGCCCCATGAAACCTAAGGGTCTATCGGAGGGGGGGGCTTCCCTTTTTTAAATTACTTTTACACACAGGACAGGTATTGAAAACACAGGAGAAACAAAAGTAAATCAAAATAGATACAATATAAAGTTAACACGACGGACTAACTAACTAACTACTAATTTATAATTATAAAGTAAGACAATAAAAAAACATAATGAAAAGTCAAATCATTAAGTTATTATGCATAAGGATGAAGTATAAACATAAATACTAAATATTAACAAAATATGCATAAATGAAATAATCATAACATAGGAAAAACAAGGAAAACAAACAAGTAGTAGATGGCTTCTCTATCATGTCTTTTGGTGCCAGTTATGTTGGTCAATTTGACACAATCATGGGGGGGGTTGTCGCCTTAGCGTTTAACTGT